AATCAAAACCAATACTCAAAATATTCATGGACAGATCTTTATTTTATTTTATCAAAAGTACTTCATTAAAAATAAGATTTTTTGTATGTGAAGGCATTTAATATTAACTGAAAGACTGTCAAATTTTGTGAAGATATACAAACTATAATGAAAGTTAGAAGTATTAAATCTATAAAGTCTTTAAACGAGTACAAAGAGGTCACATGGTCGGTCAAGTTGACCGAGCCTGTGTTGAGAGGGTTAAAGGATTTATAAATTGATTCTGTAAGTCTGGTTAAGTGGTCTGTTGTCCTTTTCATGAGGAATTCTGTATGTCAGATATTAGGTTGTTGTTTTCACAGAAAGGAAGTAGTGTTTTAGAGATAATTCATTCCATAAGTTTGCCTAGACAACTTAGCAGACTTATTGGTCTGAAGTTGTCTGGGTTGGAGCTTCCTGGAGAAGTTTCAGGAATGACTGTGATTTTTGCTTTTTTTCTAGATAGCAGGGTAGTATCCTGACAAAAAGAATAAGTTCATGATATTCAGAAGATGGAAGAGAAGGCTGCTTGAGGCAATTTTTAAAATAATATTTCTTATTCTGTCTTTTAGAGTTTTTTAAAGTTGCTATATTAATGGTAAGGTCATGTTCAGGTGTTGGTGTGGTATCATTGGTAGTGGTAGTTGGAAATTTGGGGTGTATAGGTCCAATCTTGAGGAGGTGTGTTCATCGATATTTTGTTTTATAGATTGGTTAAATGTTGAGGAGTTGATATCTTAGAAAGAGTTGGTATAATAGTCAGCAAGCAGGTTTGCTTTGTTGACATTTGTTGTTGTATTTAATGTGTTGAAATAATTTATTGCTGCTTTTTCTGTTGTAAGTGATTTCAATCTTTTCCAGATTTCTCTGGATTGATCCTGACTGTTGTCTAATGAATAGCAGAATTTCACCCAGTTTTTATTTCTTATGATTTTAATGCATCTGTTCTGTTTATTTGCAGTTTTAGCGATTGGTCTGTGGTAGTCATGGAAAGGTATTCTGAGTCTTCTATGTTTTCTGATAAGTTGATAAATTTCTAGTGTTAAATTCCAGTGTTGTAGTGATAATTGTTTGTTTAATGAGGGAATTATAGTTTTAGTGGTTTTCGAGATAGCTTCCGTGACATCATTTACATATTTGTTGAGATTTTATTCATTTGAGATAGTGTTAATTTTGTTAGGTAGAAGTGTGTCAGTAATTGTGTTAAAATTTTTCCAGTTTCCTTTAGTTTAGTTGTAAACCAGTGGTAGGTTAATGTAATTATCCCAAATTGTACATTAAATGAGATAGGAAAGTGGTTGCTAGCTATGACAGAGTGAACCGTAAAGTTCCAAGAAAAATTCGTCTGATTACCTTTGCCGTACATTGCAGTACATACAAAGAGATTTGCAGATCATTTATGGGAGGGGGGTTGCCATGCCTTGTACTCCTTCAGAGTTAGACCCTCTACTTTCTATTTGGGGCTCTAGACAAGATGCTACTGTTCACCTTAAACAATCTCAGTTTTCCAGATTTTGTCTGTCACTTACAACAGTTTGCATTTTTAGTCATCTTTGCAAATGTTGTCTGAAGCCAATCACAGGTCCCCTGCTCAAATTTCGGAGGATCTTAGTAATTTATTGACTTCCACTTTGGTCAGGTTGTAGGCTTCTGCTTTTCACTTGGTACCTTGGCTGCTTTATTGCTGGGATCTTTTGGAGAGAGATGCCTTACTGGAGGGAGTTTGCTTTCCTGCATTGGCCCTTAGATATCTAAGAGAAGCTCCTTTTCTCAGACAGTCTATTTTTGCAGGAATTTCAGAATCCATGGAATCTTGAGTTGATGTGGACCATCTCTATTCTTCATTTTCTACACTGGCTTCTCAACTTTCCCAAAGTTCTTCTGCAGGATGGTTTACTCCATTTTCAGTTCATGTTTCCAGACCTCCTGCTTCAGTGCCATGATCCATTGAAACAGAAGGGTGATTTCGACCTTACCAGCAGCAATCTTCCTCCATGGTGGAGCACAGATTTCAGCGTCAACGACAACGTTATGGGGTCAGGTCCTCTCATCTCACCACAGATCAGTGGGTCATTCAACTTCTCAGTAGGGGATTGGTCATTCAGTCTATGTCTTCTAAGCCTCTGTCTCTCCTACTGGTTGGCTTTTCACTTCCCAAAGACCCACTTATATTCAACTGTTGAGCATAAACCATCCAGGATCTTATGCACAAAGAGGCCATTGTCACCTCCTCTCTTGAGGGTTTTCATTCTTGGCTGTTTGTTGTACTGAAAAAAGTGTTCAATTGGCGACCTATCATTGACCTTTCTCATCTGAATTGCTTCCTCCAGCCTCCTCAGTTTTCAATAGAGTTGTCTTCCTCCCTTCAGTGGCTCTTTTCACCTAGACTATAGATGACAAAATTCAATGTCGCAGATGCCTACCTTGATATCCTGGTTGCCGAGTTTTCAAGGTATCATCTCCATTTCATGCATGACAACCAGGTTTTTCAGTTTCTTGCTCTACCAATCAGCCTCACATCTGCTATATACGTTTCTTGCCAGATAGCCAGTTTTTTTGTATCATCTTCACTCCCTCAGCATTCACACTCACCATTCCATGGATGACTGGCTTATTATTGCCCCTTCCTGTCATTTGGCAGAACTACACACTTGAACTCTGATATCAGAAGCTGTTAAAGCTGGGTGTCTTATCAAAAAGGAAAATTCTGTTGTTCCTTCCACATAGTACCTCATACATTTAGGGGTGTTATTTTTTCAATTCAGACTCAGCTGGAGCCAACCTTCTCTTCTACTCATTTGGGCCATGGAACAGGCAGTTCTTCAAATATAGTTGTATCTTTCTCCACCAGCATGCACAGCTCTATCTATTTTGGGGATGTAGATAATCACTCCTTCCTTTAGGTTGAGCCCACATGAGGATCCTTCAATGGCTGTTACGGGATCAGTGGAACATTTGCACAGATGTGCTGGATTGTCAAGGAGACTGTTGGATTCCAGTGTGCTAGATCTCAGCTGGTGGTTGAACAGGGACAACCCAACTGCAGGTGTCCCTTTACCACCTCCATGATCAGAGATACATTTGTTCTCACATGCTTCTTTTCAGAGCTGGGGTGCTTGTATAGACAATATGGAATTCAAGGAACTTTGGACTGTAGAGGAAGCTTCTTTCCACATCATTCTCATAGAACTTTTAGCATTTCAATGAGCTATGACTTAGAGTCTCGAATTTTTGCAAGGGAAGGTGGCAATGCTTCATTCAGACAATTCCACATTTATCTCATCCTTTTCACAGCAAGGGAGCACTCATTCTCAATCTCTCTGTTTTCGACCAGTGAATCTTCTTTAGGCACACAAACACCAGATTGTTCTCCTTGTCATGTTCCAGGGATAATGAATCTAGTGGCCGATCACTTATCACGTCTCAACAGAGCTCTTCTTAAGGAATGGATGCTTCTTCTTCAAGTGTTCTGTTGGACCTGATCTTGTAAGTGTTATCGGGAATACATTTTCGGTATAAGAAGATATAAACTTTAAATTTTCAATTGATTTCAACGTGCTACCAGTGAAATTATTAATATTTGTAAACTCTTTGAATTTTATTCTTAGTATAATACAGCACTAAAATTACAGTCTTTATTATTCTTTAAAAGTTTGCTTTATCATTTTATAACTCATTTAAATTATGATATTGTAGTATGATATGAAAATAAATATTTTTTGTTGAAAAAAAGGTGAGGTAGACTTAATTAAATCATTTTAAAGTTGATAATATCTGGTTTCATTGCACTGATACGGCTGATGCATTATGCCTCATTTACATTAGGCCTTGCCAGTCTAAGTAACTGATTGAATGGGCAAAGAAAATAACCAAAAATAAGTAAAAAAAAGAAATTAATGGATATAAAACAGATTTCTAATGCATTACCTACATTAAATGAAACCTTATAAATTTTTTATTGTAAAAAAGTTATTTTTGTTGTAAGACAGTAATTGTAAGCACAATGAAACTGTGTGCCATGTTTTTTCAATCAAGACAAAAATAAAATTTACGCTTATAAAATAAAAACATTATATGGACATTTTAAAATAATTCAGGAAGAAATAAAGATCATTAATTAAATTTTGTATCTGATATAAGCAAATTTGAATTGTTTCTTTAAAAGCATATTACATTGAAATCTTTTCAAAATTTTAAAGCTGCAGATGTCACATTTAGAAATAAAATATTTTATTGAAGAAGTTACATAATCTTTAGAAAGTTCTTCTGAAATTTCAGACTATTTCATCCAGTAATATTTTTTTTTTGTAATGCAATAATACAAACCATACAACAGCTGTATCGATTTGAAGCACCCAAGTCTCATAGAGTTTAAGGTAGTATTTGTTGTTACCCTAATAATAATTTCAAAGTTACTCAATGCATTTTTCAAGTTTTATTACCACTACAGGTGAAGTCATCATTAAATTAACTATGATATTTCATTTCTTCCCTCGTAATGTTTGATATATATTTTTACATCCATTCTATTGTATTGCATACATGGTAAAGCAGTTGCTACTTAAGTAGTTAAGTAATATTTTCCTGACTGTGTTACCTAAATCTGGTTTGTTTATAATTTATAAGAAACTTTTTAATATCTGTTACTTCTATTCATAGTGTGTGGAAAAAAATTTCTGCATAGTATTAAATTCAGCTGTAAAAGAGTAATTGTAAGTATGAATTTCAGATGAAGATAATTTCTTTCATCAGCTATCCATGAGGCTTCTCTTTCAAGTCCCTTTACCTTTAGGCATTAGTCATATAACTTTAGACCCATTCAAATCAGGTTCACATTCTTGCTTAAGACTTGCTGAGAGCTTATGTCTTGATGGCAAACCACCTATGTTGGCCAGTCTGCATTCTATAGATGGAGTAGTCTATAAACCTCAAGTCTGTGGGGTTTGCTCTTGATTGGATACATTTGCCACCCTTCAGAACTCCAGACTTCCTCCCTTCTGGCCTGTTCTTTGCTTTTTCTATATGTCCATTCCGCTGTTTGTCTATTCCCTCTGACTGATGTTTTCCTGACTGTGTTATCTCTTATTTTTACCTAAATTTGGTTTGTTTATAATCTATAAGAAACATTTTAATATCTATTGCTTCTATTCATAGTGTATGTAAAAAAAATTCTGTATAGTATTAAATTCAGCTGTAAAGGAGTAATTGTAAGTATGCATTTCAGGTGAAAGTCACAGTGGCAAACTTCAGTGGTGAAAAACCAGGAAGGATTATAAATGGCTACATTTACAGACCAGTGCAACAGTACATACTGCCCAAGGTTGGTTTTAAAAGAAGCAAATGACATGTATGATAAATTTACTTTTGTTTTTTGAACACTGGTATGCTGAAGTCTGTGGTATGCAGGCATACCATACATTTTTTATCTTCTTATTTTAATGTTTAATTTAAATATTTTTTTCATTTATACTGAGTCTATACAGTTGTTACACAACATGTGGTACATAAAACGCTTGACTTTGTTTCAGCTACCTAGATTCCTTCATTGTTACCTAGAGATAATTCCTACTTTACCTATGGTGGATATTGCTCTAATATGATAGAAGCATCCTTAACTGTTTGTGTAGATGGTAAGGGCTTCTCCTATGTTAAATGAAAATAATCAGGCATGTAGGTAGTTCTAGTCATTATGGGTAAATCCTTTAAGTAATAATCATTATATTTAAACAGTATTATATACGATCCCAAGTGAGTTGACATCTTGAGGAAAGAAAGCTAGTCAATCAGTTCATGGGTCCAGTAAAAAGATGACCTTCAGTTTCCTGATCAAGTACACACACACCATGTTTATGTTTTTGACTTAAACAATAATCATTTTCATTTTGTATTATGCATCATGTCCAGCTGTTCATTTTTTAGCTTGAACTTGATTAGTTTAGTTAAATTCAGATTTAGTTTGTAATTTATCTTGCTTATCCTCTTGTTATAAAGAGGACCTACATGATATAATATTTGAGGAAAACAGTTTAACCTGAAAATACCATAAGGTTACACAGGTTTGAACATGTTTGATACAAGTTTATTTTGTCATATCATCATTTAACATAGATTTTTTATCATTCTTCATAAAATTTTACTGTGATTTCTGTATAATAGCATTTGGTATATTTTAGCCAAAAATGTTTTATGATTCAGTCCCTTTATATATCTGTAATTAAAGCCTTGCAGGAAAATCTATAAACATAATCCAGTCATTTAGAGGTGCAGGAAAAAATATGTTGAAAAAATATTCAGTAAAGAAGAGTATTTGAATGATATTTAACTAATTGTTTTTTAGAGAAATTGTACTTTTTTCCTTCTACAATCCCCTCGAGGTGAGGTGACCTCCCAGGGAAGGTTCTGTATGTTCAGTTTACGTCCTCTTGGATCTGAACATCCACCCATGTGTTTGCCATGTGTGGCATCCCATAAAGGGGAAAAGAGGATCCTTGTTTTTGAGGGGTTTCATTGCTGAATCAGTTTATGTCAGTGTCACTTTAACACACCACTTTGACCTTGAACTCCTGTAGATGGGTGGTCTTGGAGTGGATCCCCCCAGGGTCAATCGGCTGGTCCTGTTGGGCAAAGATCAACCAAGCACCAGTGTTGGATGTTCTCAGCAGGTGTGTGGACATTTCTTTCTGATACTGGTGTTTGGGTATAGTGCCCATGAAACCCTGGTGTCTCTACAATGCTCTGCTTTAGCATTGTAGTACATCCCTTTGTAGGACTCCATGGAGGGTGGGGTCAGTGGATGCTGAAGTTTCTCAATTTTGTATGGATCCTGCACCCAGTGATCCAAAAAACAAACAAAAAACACATTGATAAGAAAGTGACCATATTTAGAAGACTCTGAACAGCAGTCTCCACCCCATTCTGTACCTGTACCTCATTGTTTTATCATGTATTCTTTATCAGACAAACCTTTAGAACAAATGTCTCCCTTTTTTATTTAGAAGGGATTAGAGAAGTTTGCTGGCTCTCCAAAGTCAGTGAAGAAGCTACGTTCTGGGGCCATCTTGGTGGAAGCATCTACACCAAAACACAATTAACTCATCCTAAATTCAAAGGCCATTGGGGATATACCTATTGAAGTTACTCCTCATGCTACTTTGAATTCCTCCTGAGGAGTGATTGTTGAGAGGGATTTACAAAACATCTCCAAGTAGGAGATCCCTGCTGGTTTCTCCAACAAAGGAGTTTCTGCTGTGCGATGTATCTTAACTTATAAAGAAGGAATTATGCTGGCTACCAGTGTTCGTGTATTGATGATTACATTGCTATATCTGCCTGCCACTGTCAAGGCAGGTTATCTGAACTGTAAGGTATGCGCTTATATTCCTAACCCTCTCAGGTATTTAACTGTAAGCAGTTATAACATTCAAAGGCATCTTGTCATGGTTCTTTGATGTGTGCTTTTTGTGGTGGCAAAGACCATGATGCCTATGAGTGTCAACTGGATCCTCATTGCATCAATTGTGGTGGTTCCCATCCCTCTTACTTTCAATCTTGCCTTAAGTGGGTGGAGGAAAAAGAGGTAGAACGTTTACATACTGTAAACAACATTTCTTACCCTGAGGGTTGGAAGTTGTTGTCTCCTGTTTCATCTCAGACATATTCTGTTGCTCTCTATTTCACTGCAACAGTGGGAGTGCAGACAAATCTTTCTGTGCCTCCATCAAAGTCTTTTGCCCTTCATGGTTGCACGAGTTGACAAGTTTATGTCTACTCCTGTATCTGTCCCTACCATTGCTTCCAGTGACTGCTTGGATCCACCTCATTTATCCCCAAGGTGTAGAACCATTATTTGGTCACATCCTCAGTCACTGGAGTCTTCCTTCTTCCAACAGAAATCTGCCCAATTGACCCAGAGCAGATTCCATGGAGGTCGATAGACCTCTTTCTACTAAAGAAAAACGTTGTGGTTGCAAACAGAAGGGTTCTCTGCTCAGTTCTCCTCCACCTAAATAAATATGGCCACATTAATACAGTGGAACTGTCAAGGTTTTCATTCTAATTTGGTTGACATTAAGGCCTTGATTGATTCCTATCATCCTGTGTGCCTCTCCTTACAGGAAACATTCCTGAAAGCTGCTGATACTGTCACCTTTTGGCAGTTTTCTTTATACCAGAATGACAGATTGTGTGATGGACAAGTTCATGGAGGTGTGGCACTGCTAGTTGACCAGCATGTACCCACCTTGTCTTTGCCACTCAATACACCTTTGGAGGCTGTAGCTGTCCATATCTCTGGGGGCATACCATTACTGTTTGTTCTCTCTTCCTGTCTCCAGGAGAGACAATCAATCAGACCTTAATGCTTTCATAGAGCAATTGCTGTCTCCCTTTTTCATCTTGGGAGACTTTAATGGACACAATCCACTGTGGGGTAGTGCTGATATTGATGGGGGGTCATTCTATGGAGCATATGCTCTCAGATCACAACCTTTCTCTCTTCAATACTGGTTCTTTTTTCCCATAGTTTTGAGGGAGATTGGCTGTGGTCGATGCCACAGTGGAAGCTGGAGAAGGCTGACTGGCTCTCCTTCCCCACTCTCTTGGTAGTATATCCTGCTGTTGTTAGTCTTCCATATATTAATGACTGAGTGTAGGCTGTAACAGATTGTATAATTCAAGTAGCTGTTCATTCTATTCCCAAAACCTCAACATGTTTTCCATAGTATCCTTGTCCATGGTGGTCTCCTGCTAGTGAGCAGGCACAGAAGACTCAGAAATGTGTCTGGGATACTTTTTGCTAGTATCCCACTCTTTCCAACTGCATTACTTTCCAGTGAGCCCATGCTGATGCTTGGCAGGTCAGGTGTCAAAGCCAGAAGGAATCTTGTATTAAGTTCACCATCAGCATCTATTCTACCACCAGTTTCAAAGTTATCTGGGACAAGATTTGGAAGGTCAATGGGAAGTATGTTTCCTATCCCCTTTACATCGTGCTCTCCAATTAGAAGTTGTTGATGTATAGAGTATCACAAATACTTTTGGGGAGAGTTTGCTTATCTTTCTAGCACTTTTTTTTTTCCTGCCTTCTTGGCCATCAAGTCTCAGGCTGAAGGATCGCCCCTTTCCTATGGAGTTGATCATCTCTATGATTATAATTGCCGATTTACATTGGTGGAACTTAAGCTTGCTCCTCGTTGTTTGGGCAGTATATCAGTTGGACCTGATGACATTCACTATGAGATGCTGCACCATCTCTCTTGCTCTTTGTCTGTTTTTTTTTAACCTGGATCTGGCAGGAGAATATTTTTCCAGATGCTTGGTGCAGGGCTATTGTTCTTCCTTTCTCAAAGCCTGGGAAGATTCCTTCTAATTATCATCCAATTGCTTTGACTAACTGTAAGGTCTTGGAGAGCATGGTTAATGCATGTCTAGTTTGGTTCGTTAAATCAAACAACCTCCTCTTGTCCACCCAATGTTGTTTTCATCGAGAGTGTTCCACTGTGGACCACCTGATTTGTCTCGAAACCTCAATCAGGGAAACCTTTCATAAGAGAGAGCATCTTGTTTCTGTCTTCTTTGATCTTGAAAAGACTTATGACACTAAATGGAGGTTTGGCATTTTGTGGGCCTCCATTCATATGAGTTGCATGGCCATTTACCCATGTTTATTTGTAACATTTTACTTGACACAATTTTTGTCAGTCTCCAAACATGAGGTTTATTGAGCAGTAGCTTCAGACTGCTCTCACATGCTTGTTGAAGCAGACAACAGCAAACAGCTTTACCTTCTCTTCATCTAAAACCATTTGCATTTATTTTTGCCCCCAATGTGATTTATACCCCAATCCTGAACTACGTTTTGGTGTTGTTGTTCTTCCCATAGTTCCTGAGGTAAAGTTCTTGGGCTTATCTTTGACCATCAGCTTACTCACATCAGGCAGCTTTGTGTCAAGTGTACAAGGGCACTGAACATCCTCTGTATCCTCTCTTCCACCTTTAAGGGAGCAGATCAATGTTCTGTTTTGAATATCTATGGTGCCCTCATACATTTATTGGAAGTACCATCTTCTCTTTGCCAAACATCTTTAGAACCATTCCTCTGTACCTGCTGTTACAGATGTTTCAAAATCAGGTGCCTTTGTGGGCTCTGTCATGGTTTGTTGTGGCTCGGTGGTTGCTCACAGCATTCCCTCTACAATTTCTGTGTTCACTACCAAGTTGTATGTCATTTCTCTTGCCATAGATCACATAGAAGCTAAGCAGAAAACTAACTGTACTATTTACACTGAATCTTTTATCTCCATTGACCCTGCAATTGCTTAACACTCTGAATATAGGCTCAGTCAATTTGACAGTCCATGTGACCTTTTTTGTACTCGTATAAAGTCTTTATAGATTTATTACTTATAACTCTCAATATAGTGGTGTATCTTCACGAAATTTAGGTCAGTACTTTCTAGTTAAATTATTAACTAAGTACTTTCTACATACTAAAATTACTATAGTCTTAGTG